GTTTTTCATTATCAGTAATGGAATAATATATTATTACATTGTTTTTGCAGTTGCATACATATGTATATGTATATAAATATACATACATGGTTTCTATACGCGCTGATAATATCGAATGTTATTGGCATATGTCATATGCATTTATTTGTATCACCTCAAATAAAGAAAAATAACGCAATAATACGATCGGGCCTATACGATTTGGCCTTATATGTTGTGAAAAAAAAAAAAAAACCATTGACATCATCGCTGTTTTCGGGACCCGCATACTTATACCTATAAAAAGAAAAACACATAAATTTCGTAAATTACACGTGTCACATTTTTTGAAAAAGATATATTTTTATTTATTTCCGCAGTTATATATTTCCAACAGAAACTGCAGCTCTTGTTTCGCCGCTAACATATTTTATACCTACGCGCATAATATGATAATTTATCTTTTTTCTCGAGAGTACCGGCTTCGTTGGTTTTTTTTTTGTCGTTTGTTTGTTTTCTATATTATATATTATAATCATATCCGAAGACGTATTATTGAAAGCCGGCGGTGTTAAACAAACATAAAACAAAAACCATAGTGACAATAACATAAACGTATACGATTGTTATTCGTGACACAATTCGTCGACTCGCAGTTTCGGAGTGTTATTAAAAAACATTAATAATAATATTATAAGGAACAGTATAATACGGTGTACTGCGCGCGAGCGTCGCTATAGCACAATACGGTGACGTAATGGCGGTTTCATAAAATCCGACAAGTTGTCGAAATCGTAGACATATTAATATACCTTTAATATTGTTATGGACTGCGGGTCCCCGGTGACGGCCCGCCAGCCCCGGTCGCCCGGTGTCGCGCGCGTATACGTATAGATAATAATAAAAAAACGCGGATGGGAAACGTCAGTGCGTTCGATTTTTTATCGGCGAAGACCGCGCCAGTCACCGCGCGCGTACAGGTACTGCATGCGGTTTTTATTATTATTATTTTTATTTTTTTTTTTCGCGTGCGCAGCTATAACATTGTACACCTGAGCGTGTTGCATACGGCCGTACAATATCGCGCGTGTTGCTCGGCACCGCAATATAATACAATCGCACGCGCGAAATTGTACGGACAAGCGACCGTGCAACTCGTTATCAGTCCGAGACCGCCTCAGTCCCGCGTCCACGTCTTCGTTGTCTACGACGCGACGCCTAGCGCCCCCACGCTGCAGCAGTTGGACGGAGATAGCCGACACCGGGCGTGTTTTGTCTATTCGTCGGTGTGACAGTATGAACGTTCGTGCGTTTGATAACAGCCAAACTGCGATATAATATTATAATCGTTTATACAACAACGTTTTTTTTTACCATTGACGTGAAATTTCTCTCTCCCACCGCCGCTGTTGACGGGTATACGCTGTACGGGTGTGCGTGCGCTGTTTTCGTTGTACATTGTACTATATTGTCGTTTTCTGAAAAAAAAAAAAAAAAAAAAATTGCTCCTCGGACTTTTCTCCGTTATCAATGTTATCAAATCCGTTTGGCTTTATATACGTAGTTATACATTTACAATGTATTATTATAGTTATTTAATATAAGCATACAAAATAAGAACGGTTTAAAAACATTCGTTTAAATTAATTTTATTCGGTGAGTTTTCGTCATTGAGTATAAGTCTACGACACTATACAGAAATATTCGTCGATAGGAATTTCAGGTCCCTCAATACTTACCATCATACAATGCATCAAGGTCCCCGGTTGTTCATCCTATTTCTGCAGGTGTTACTCGGAATTCTATTCATAAGACCAAAAGACCTTTCAACCGAAGCCGATAGTCACGACGACGACGATGACGTACACCGGCACAGATCCAGAGCAAAGATCTTGGGGGGGGGGGCAATAATTTGTTTAAAACACAAATACAATTACATTATCTATTGTTCTAATTATAGTACCATAATAATTGTAGCGACCACAATCTATTTGCAATTGCCCGGGACCAACTTTAGTGGTGACGTGGTGCACTCTTGTGTGATGCCAACAATTCACACGGAATTACGAAATTCCAATATTCACACAGTCCACAGATATGTATAATATATTATTATATTATCATACATATCTGTCATTGACATAAAATAATATCAGGATCTGTAGAATTACATATGAAAAACATTGGAGAAATAATGTCTAGTGAGAGGGGGGGCTGGGCCTCTACCTCCCTCCTCCGGATCCATCCCTGGACGTACAATCAGCGAAGACCGGTTGATCAGTCGCTGGTTCCACTGGCCCGACACCGTTCGAAATTTTCGAACGCGAAAGTTGTTAAATAAACATTAATAGACATCATAATCATGAAACGTTATTTACATAGGAGAAAAAACTTGAATAAAACATTTTTTCGTAATGTAAATTACGGCTAAACGAGTTGGTAATTCGTACGTTTTCTCTAATTTTTACTAATGGGGGGGGGAGAGGAGGGCGGAGGAATACGTCCGAAAGGACATGCCTGAAACAAACACTGTTTACATGTTACACGGTATAACAGCTTTGTTTTCATAAATCAAAATATAATTACGCGAAATTCTGTACAAATCTGTACGATCGACTATAATATGCTGTCGTATTGTGAAACCGTAGAAAATGTTTTTATGTGATAAGGATAAGGATAATCAAATAATTTTAACTTTGAAGTATTAAAACCATTGCTTGAACATTAATAATAATCAGCAAAGGAGGATAGAAATTAGTGTTTTATTGGTAAGTGTTTTTTTTTTTTTTTTATGTTTTAAATGTATTAATAAATTATAATTCACGAACCATAAAATACAAATAATCGTCTGAAAAACCGGCGTACTGTTACTTTATTTTAATTTAACCGAATTAACGTAATACTACGTGTTTTGTTTAATACTTGAATTAAAACTGCTTATAATCTGTTTAATCTGCTTACGTTTTGTTGTTGCTTTTGTATCGGTAATTCGGAAATACTTTTCTTTTACTGTAGTTTTATTTTATTTTTTTTTCGGAAAGTACTTGTAATTTATTGTGAGTAGATACTTTAAGTACTAATTGAATAAATTTACATAAGTTTATATCGTTTTACCATTGGGAACGTATATACAGAACAGACGTTGCAACGAAAAAACTAATTTTCAATTTTGTTTTTTTTGGGGGGGCGACCTGGGTCTTATATTTTTCAAAACCTACAACTGTTCGATATATTTTTTTTAATATTATTGCTGCCTTTATCTCTAATCGTGTTTAATCAGTAGTTATTCATCTGTATTTACTTTTGGTTTTAAAACGACAATATTCAATTGTCATAACGAAGATCCGTACGTTATTCTATTATTATTTTTTTACATAACCGATTATATAGTTGCGCGTTGATGTATACCGAATTTCGTCATAAGCAACGCACAAAAAGCTTTCAAAACGACAAACGTAATAACATCATGCTATTTTGTCTCGTGGGAATGCGTGATATTTTATAGGGGCTTTGACCTATTTCCGCGACCAAATACGTACCAAATACTGTTGTCAGTCCGTGACTTTATTTGCCGGGTACTAAACGTTAATTAAGTAATGACGTACATTCTGAAAATTATCCGTTTAATGATTAAATTCGTGTAATACTAAACGTTACGAGTGTTACGACTATAGAGCCAAGGACTTATAATTTTTGCATACGTGTCTAAAAAGGTCGCACGGCAATGTAAGTTATGTATAAATATGTTTTTGAACACAAAGAGCTGGTTGTATATTGCATATTTTGTAGTTATCGAATATAAATGCATATTTGATAAATTAAATGCATAATAATATTATGCTCTTAATTGTAAACGTTAAAGTAAAATGTTGTGGCGGAGCTTGATAAGTGATTTATTATACTTTACTCTATGCCCCAATCAAAATCTATCATGTAAATAGTAAATTTGTATAATGTTTATAAAAATAAAACCGATTGTCCCACCGAAATCATATTTTCTCAAAACAAAATACTAGTCTATAGCTTTCATATACCAAAAAAAAAAAAAACAATTTTTGAAAATATCTGCTTCTGTCTCTCGGTGCAGATATAAAAATACACATTTGGACAATTTTGATATTAGATATAAATTACATAACGCAGAACGAGCTGTAACGATATTATTTTTATACAGACAATTTTCCTAATGTGTTCGTGTACCCATATAATATAATATTAATGTTATCGGTTAGGTAATTCACTATTTGGCGGATAACACTGCGACGTGTGCAAGAAACTACGATTTTACAATATACATTTTTATCGTTTCAAGTTGTTGGAGTAGAAACCGAAGAAGATGAACGCAATTCATTTTTTAAATTTGTGTTCACTTTTTAATTTTTTAATATAAATATTATTGAGCGTCATTTGAGTGGTGACACGATGACGACTTTTGAATAGTATTCAGATACTTTCCCCTCGCCCAAACTTAAAAAGTGGAATATCACGTCAACGGGTTGATGGAAATCAATAATTTCAACACTAAATTACATTTAAACTAATACTTCATATGCTTATGGAATTTTCAATGTAGGTTGCCATTTGAAAATCAAAAATCAGTAGTTTTCAGTAGAGTAACTACCACCAAGTACGACGTCCCTCGTCCACCCCTGAAAAATGGATATCATCACAAACCCAAGGTGCGGTACAAAACGAAGTAAGTAAATTTTTTTCTCGAAAAGATCGAGAAAAAACTTTTTGATTCATCTGCGACTGCAAATCAAATAAGCGATAAAATCAAGTCATACAGTTCCTGTTGAAAAGTTGGCAAGAAATTAGCCGCACAACTATGATGAATTGTTTCGCTCATTGTGGATTTTTAAACTTTGTTGATTTATAACCAGAGTCGATTTCGGAATTTAATGAACATTTTATACCAGTTTAAAAACATAACGAGTTCAAGAATATCGACGAGAATACTCCTTTTTGATAATAATGAAGATGACGTCTGTGATGCATAAAATATTTCGAAAAAAAGAAAAATGGATTCCATTGAAGAAGAAAAAGAAGACAACGATTTGGATGCTGACGTACCAACAACAGCTAAAGTTACTCGAAAATGTGGTGAAACGTTGCAGAAATTCTTCATGCAGAAGGATAACGGAAATATTCCGTCTGAAAAAATAGTTAGCAAGTTTTGTCAACCATATTTACACTGACCAGCTCACAAAACCTGCCGTTACAAACTATTGTACACCGTCCACATCCAGCAGTAATTTTAGTGAAGTATACCTATATAATAATATTCAGTATACATTTTGTATTTTGATTTATTTAGTTTAACAATTATAATTTTTTCTTTTGAAATTTAAAGCTGTTTTGTTTTTTTTTTTTTTTTTTTTTACTAATTTCGGTTATTATGGATAACCGCTTAATGTGAGCATGTAACTGCGGTCCCGACATACCCAATGCAGATTAAATACCAGTTATACCAGTACATTTGGAGTCAAATTGAAATTAATAACAAATCGCAGTGTATTTTTTAGATTCTGAGGGTAGTGGATAAGCTTTTTGTTTTACAAAAATTTTTTTTTGGCTAACATTTTTTTCCGTTTTTGTTCAGTTCAAAAATGTTCTGACTGATTGTGTCTATAAACAACTTTTCTACCGGAAATCTTGCTCTAATCTTTAAATAAACTTCATTGGAACTTTTTTGTAGCATTTTTAATTTGTTTAGTAAAGTGGGGAGGTAATTTTTTGATTTTTTTGATATTCTGGTATTTTTCTTAATAATGAAACATTTCGTTAGCAATGGACCATCGTTGCGTACAGATATAAATGAAATTACTCTATATATTCCAATATATATGATCCATTCCAACTTACCTACAAAAACAGTTGCAGTGTCAGCCTTTTTATGCCATACCAAACCTAACCATCACTTAAAAATGGCATTTTTCACATAATTGTACTTTTTATATTTTAAAAAAAAATGTTTAGATTTTCAAGTTTTTTTTGTAAAATTTAACAATTTAATACGAATGTGGGAACATGCGTTTTATTTTTCGTCGATTTGTCGGTTACGTAGCTCGTCTGCACCGGGGAAAAAATACTAATACTACTCTGCTGAGAATCGTTTTTGTTTTTTTTTTTTATTGTTACGATTTATCGTTTTTATCGGTACATAAATTAAATAACCCTGTAATATATGACGATAATATGTTCATCTTCTACAATGGTTTGTGCAAGCGGTGCGCATTTTTTATTTTTTTTTTTTTTTCTGAGTTTAGTACACATGATATTGGTACTCGGATACGTTTCGCGTGCCATTTTTATTCTAGTGTACAATACGTACCTGTAGCCGGGCCTATTGCGTCCTACGCGTCGGACGATTAGTCAAGTCTCGCCGCAGACGTGCTCTTGCAGGTATATATTTCAATTTCGTTTATTCGCAATTTATGTGTCGTACATTAGAGAAATGACGTATTTATACAATATATCCGTATTGTACTCGAATTGTACAGCGTATACGCTGCACGTGTACAATGTACGTATACGTTTCCGTGTCTTTTCCCCCGGTCGTTACTCATAATGTTATTACGTTATACAAATTGCGGCAGCTCGGAATTTTAGCGGTTTTTTTTATTATTATTATTATTATTGTTATTTTGTTTTATTTTTTTTTTTAACACCGAAAGGTCTATGCAGTGCGCACAGATGTATTACAGCGGACGGGATACCGAGTCTCCGGAAAACCGAGTGCGGACCTGGACGCGTACCAAGAGCGGCTGTATGAGGGCCGTACAGCCACACCACTGCGGTATAACGAAAATGCGTATTTCCTCCCTTTGGTTTTTTCCCTCCCCTCCGTTCGCTCACCCGGATTTTCTCTTTAACGGATTATAACATAATATACATATATATTATTATATTTATCAGGGCGGAGACCCGACGATATATTAATGTAAACAAGTATACGTCCGCGATGCACATGCCGGGAACGCGCGTTCACTTTCAACTTTCGCATCGTTTAAATAATATATAACTCGCATTTATATGTTATATTGTTTCACTTTCATCAGACGCTCACGGCCAGTGTTGCGCAAAGGTAGCTGAAAATGTATCTGGATAAAGATAAAAGATAATTAAATATAATTTATCTGAATAGAGATAAAAGATAGTTAAAATCTAAATTATCTAGATAAAGATAAACAACTATTTATCCGGATAAAAAAAAAGATACAATTGTTTTAATTTTATTAATTAATATACAATTTTTTTTTTTTTGTCAATTTATACTAGATTCTACAATCTACAATTTTTTATTGGAATTTAGAAATAACACAAATAAGTGTACCCGGGGATATTGTTATATAACATTATATTACCTATTACTTTATGTTTTCAATTTTGTTCTCTACTTGTACAAAGTTGGTTTACTAATTAAACACGGGTTTTAATTTTAAAGTTCAATTTTTCGAATTTCTCGTACAGGTATATATATTTATGAACGTTCACACCACTCGGTCCTAATTCGACAAGAAATTCAAAATTCCTTTTTTTAAAATCGGATTTTCCCAACAGTGTAATATTATTATCGTATTATGCAATCGGTAATGATTTCGCGTTTGCATCCTTCGTAGGTTTGTCGTGGGACATTTATGTAACGTCCGTGTATCGCGCAACTGCGGTTAATAATTATTTAACTGTTTAATTCGAATTGTTTAAACGCGTCGACGAAAAAAAAAAGAGAATAACAATTATTATAATATTATCGTGTGCACGGTATTATTGCACGCGTTATCTGCAACTTGCGTTTTTTTTTTTTTTTTCTTAAATCCGTTCGCTCGTTCGGCGGTCGCATATTTCAGACGCCCGTTTCGTCGTAAATCGTATACATACTTAACTATAATACACCGGGTTTCTCGTTCCCCTCCCCCCCTCCCTATCCAAAAAAAAAATACATTATCAAAACTCGCCATCTCCGATCTGCATCGCGATAATAACGTTGTAACGTCTTCCGTGTAACATAATAGAAGGACGTCTTTAAATTACATCTATTAACCGCGCTGCATTTCGTCAATTTATATTTATTTCTCCATATTATTATACACGTATACGTTTTATAATACTCGTGTTATTTAAATACATCCGCCATTAATCTGTTTTCCTCCGTGCCGCTGCACCGTATTCCTAATAGTATTTCGCAAATATGCACACTTTATCATGTTCACTTCATTTATTTCACTTTATACGTTATAATATTATTATTATTATACACAATGACGTTATTTTATAATTTTTTTTTTCGTTTTCATTTCATACGTTATACTTCATTAGGTATTGCGTTATTTCCATTCACTATCAATCATTAATATTAACTAAACATAATTGTTATCGTTTAATTATAGGTATACCGAACACTTGACGATAATATCATTATGATTTTCAATCAGATTTTACCGACTACGAGCGAATCGAGTAATCAATACCCGTTTGTTTATTTTCGTGTTCAAATCGAACACTTTGTGAGCATTTTTTTTTGTAATAATTTTAGTGCATTAGGGAGGTAATTTTTAATTTTTCTTGTAGTTTTTTTTTTTTTTTTGTAAAAACGGAAAAAAACTGACAATTGTATGTACATTGTATTGATTTCTGGTTTTTCTTGGTGACAAGTGAAAAAAGACAAATACCTTATAATACGTTGCTTAGAATCGTTTTTCGTTTGATATGAAGCTGGTATATATATTACGTTTTGACGACGATTCTATACCTGTAAGCAACGATAAACCATTGCTTGACGAAAGACGATTCCGTGCGCAGTTCGGTAATACATAATTGGAAGAGCCGTACGTCTTTTGAGATTTTCGTTTAGATTTCAAAACGCTTATAAAAAAAAAAGTCATCCGATGATTTTGAAAATTTCACCACATCTACTTAAGTCCAATATAAATATTATTACCAACTTTCAAGTCTCTATGTGTATTTATAACCGAATTATAGCAAAAAAACACCCGAAAATTTAAATTCATTAAAAGCTCAAAAGTTTTGGCAATTATATCATAAGAAAGTAAACCAAACAGGCAACAAAAAATGATATTCCGTGATTTTTCGATTAAATCATTTTTTCTGGTAGAAAATGTCGTCCGTGTTTTATAAAATAATAAAATCGTGAAATTGTACGTTTCCCTACATTTTTTTCCCACTTGAGTGCTTTTGTTTGAAAAATGGCGTCAAATACCAAAAAGTAACGTGTTCAAAGTACCATCTAGACAACTCGAGTAAGCTTTGACGAGCTTTGAAAAAAGTCTGCTACACGTAAAAATCGGAGCAAGTTTGCTTGGAAAATATGCGTCCACAGTGTGAAACAAAGAAAGAAAAAAATAAACGTCTTAGTAAAACCAATTGAGCTTACTCGATAGGCTCGGAATCTAATATAACTGTCACGGGGGTGGAGGAGGGACGGGCCTTGAGTCCGTCACCGCGAAGCACGTCGTAGTTTTTCATCGAGGACCTGGACTTTAGGTTTCCATTTATAGGACGCCGTATGCCTTTCTCGGGGCGTTATTCGATTTGAACCGCCACCCGCGCGGGTAGTGTCGCTTTCCGTTTCCCGCCGGCAGCCTTACACCGTCGGGACGCGCGGTGGCCGTTCGTCGACCGGGCAGTCCGGGTTTTTATACGCTCGGGACACCGTACCGACGAGCGGGCCGCGTTTCGCGTTTTATTGCACTCCGGAAAATCTCCGGCCGAACTCGCGTACACACGGTCCGTGTACACGCGGACGGGCAACGCGTTTCGCGCGCGCCCCCGGTACGCCAATTTCTCCTCCGCTCCCCTACCGCTCCTCGTATGTCTACGTCGCGCTGCAGTAACAGAACACTACGCGCGGCGGCTCGAATACCGGCGAAACGGCAACGCCGTGACGTCACCGTGTTCGCGACTACGTAACGCGCGTCAGCATAATATTACACCCGGGCGCCCGTACAAATGTTTTTTTTTTTTCCATTATTTTTATCGCAATAACACCGGCGGCGGCGTTGCACGAAATGCATTCTGCGCGGTCGTGAATAAACTCGCGTGTCCGAGCCAAGGTCGGGTCGCGGCCGACGCGAGACTCGCGCGGACGACTACGCCTACGGCAAACGCGCGTTGCCGCCTTCGCGCCCGTCTTCGGCCCGTTACGCGGCGATTGTTTATTCCGTTGAAACGGCCGTCC